ATATCATGCGTAAAAAAAGTCCGCGACACTTGTGTCAAAGGGCCATGTTTCGATTTCGAAAGTTTCAATTTCGAATATCACGCGCGCGATTACGTGACCAATTGCATAGCTTCAGTTTCAATATATTTGTTCCTCTTACATTATTCTGTATCATTTATCTCTCCCTTTTGTATCTTCTCTATATTTAGATATATACTATTTTATTTTGAACGCGCAGAGAGAATAATAATAAAGAATAAACTTAATAATTCATAAGAGATACTATGCATTCTTAAAATTTTATTTATCTTACTTTACTTTGCGCCAAAGCATCTTGTAAATGCATGAATAAATAGAATACTTCGCTTTTTACGATATATTTATATTTTTACACTTATCTCTTATAGTATACAATATAAAAGGCGCAAAGAAAGAAGGAAAAAAATTTTTAAAATTGAGAAGTTTCTTGCGAGAAATAGTTTTAATGATAATAATTAATAAGTAATTTTTTCTAGTAGAGATAATCTCTGAATTTTACGTATATGTGTATTGAAATTTCATATATATATATATATATATATATGAAATTCGTATAAAAAGAGCCTACATTAAATATATGCTGTCTTAAAAATGATATATAATGGTAATTATATAATATTGTACAGTTTTACTTTGTTTATCCTTTGCGATCTTGACAAGAATAATGTACTATATCACCGTTAGGATACCTCGCAAAAGCACTAAAAAAAACGGAGCCAATTAATATCAATATAAATATAAAATTTGTAATAAATATAATTTAATATAATTTTACAAACCTTTGATTGCCGAAGCGTTTTTTACAAACTGGACATATATTAAACTCTGTCATGAGAACACTCTGTGACTCGTAATGCATTCGTTGTTCCTGCACTTGTAAATGTTCCGCATAAAGCAATCCTTTGAGAACCTGTGTTCTTCGCCTCGCATTCAAATTATTTTGTAAACTAACTTCCAAGAAATGTTTTATCCTGCCGATAGGTACAGAATCCGGTAAAACTTTCAGAGCTTTCGTAGGATTTATTTTTGAGGCGTGTTCCTCTAATAGTTGAAGAGCCATTTCTAAATCTGGTTGTGCCGTTCTTTGAATTTCCGGACTGCAACCTTGAAGAAAAAATATAATATATAACTATAATTATAATCACATATATATATATATATATATATATATATATATATATATGAATAATATAAAAAATCTTATTTGTATATAAATATTTATACCAGCCATTAAAACTCCTTCATTATCAGGTTTCAACAACTGCTGAATTAATAAAACATACACTTCGTCAGCATTGTCCGTTTGTTTTTCCGTACAATCTTGATCTTGTAAATAACTTTCAATTAGTTATATCATCTTTTATTTTATATTTCATATAAAAAAGTTTTAAGATGTTTACTTACTTTGGTATTTTGTATATACATTTTGACAATATTGTATAGCACGCGGTATATCATTTAAAAGACTGATATATATCGATATAGCTTGTTGATGACGACCGAGTCGTCCAAGTATAATTGCACGTTCCTCGAACAAACAGTCAAATGGAAAGTGCACCAATATTGTTTCAGGTGTATAATATGTCGATTTTTCCAAGAATTGTTGCAATTTCTGTCGTATATGTTGTGAGGTTTCTTTCTCCGCTGGTGTTGCATTAGCATTCATAGAAGTTAGACATTTTTCCTTATACTGATGTATCAAAACATTATGGAATAGTGGATTAGTGTCTTCCCAAAGATGTACCACATGTTCCAGGTATTGTATTACTAAATCTTTATGGAAACGCAAAAGATAATCTAATATTTTTGGTCTAGGTAAATGTTCGACTTCCTGTAAAAATCATTTTATTAATACAATATAATTAACAAAAAAATAATGAGTTGAATATATAAAAGTAGAACAAATAAATGCACACCTGTATATCTTCCATAAATATTCTAAGACCTTGTTCAGGATCCTCTGTTAAAACCCATCCAGCAAACTTCAAAATTAGATCCATATGATCCCTGCCGAGATGCTGTAAATATTGTATAGTTCTCTCAGTGCCTTTTAGACTAGAATCATTCTCTTTTGCGTGCTTCTCTAAAAGTTCCAATGCTTTTTTATGTTGTCCTTTGGTTTGATACAATATAATGAGTTCTGGATATTTTTGATGCATTAATAAAGTTTTCTCAGCTTCTGCCAAGTGACAGTGATTCAGTCTAAGTAAAGGTGCTACCAAAGCATCAGTAGTCTAAAACAAAATTTGTTTAACATTTATGTGAACAACTTTTATAAGAATTCATTTGATATACAATTTTTAGTATCTCCTTTTTGTATTTTATTTACCTGTAAGTAACACTTTAAAAGAGTAGTATCAATGATCTTCAAAAGTTGTTCCGTAGCTACTGCAGTTAAATTTTTTTCTCCATTTACTCCATCCTTTTCTTTATTAAGCTCTTTTTCTTTCTTCATTAGTTTATGCCTAACTTCAGTTAGAAAAACTATTAATGCACGTAAGCCTTTTTCCAACTCATGATCTTGCAGTTTTGGCAAGCTGGGTGCTGGTTCGCTAGGTTCATGAGTGTTAGTCGAGGGTGCTAAATCTGGAAATAATCTGATTACCTCATATGGATCAGTTCCCAGTGTTAAAAACAACTCCATCGCCTCTTGGAATCGCTTATTGTAAAACAAATAATGTGCATATAATGTTTGTATTTTATATGTTTGTCTAGTTTTTTCCTCATCTGTTATATTGGATAATTTCTAAGAAAAAAAAATTATATGTATGAATATAAATTTTAAGCATTTTAAAAGATAAAGTATTATCATATTATTGATATACAAATATTTAATGTAACGTACAGTTAATGTTAAAGCCAATTGAAATTGATTTTGCTCCAGCAATGTCCTAATCTGCAAAGTAACATCAATTGCCTTGATACACCAAACTTGACTAATGGATGCCACAAAGACTTTTCCTTGTTTACATCTGTATATAAGTCTAGCCTTATTTAGATCTCTTATTGTTTGAATATGTAGACATCCTTCTAATGTATACACCTCCAATTTCTCATGCACAATACCAAGTAGATAAGGATTATCCCATGCTGTATGTAAAGATCAATATAAAAATTTTGTCAATTATAATTTAAGAGATAAAAAAAATAATGAAATTAAAAAATAAAGTTTATTCTACATACCTATTGCACTAGGTGCATCTGACCATTTTATAGGATTGTGTTGAACCAATTCTCCTTTCGTATCCATAACGAATGATTGAAAATCTTTTCCCAGTACAAACGAATTATCTGATAATTTTGTAATACTTGGTTCTGGAGATTTACCAGTGGGAAAAAGTTCTTTAGGTTTACCATTTAAATCAAAAATGGTATAAGATAATCCACGAAATCCTAATATCAATGTTTCGCCACACCTTAAAAATTAATATCAAATTAATCAAATAAAACTATTATATTGAGTTATTTTAATAACTTTTGAAAATCTATTACCATGATAATTGACGAGGTATATCTGGCACCGTTAACTCGAAATCATTAAATTCTTCAAACTTCTTTCCCTTCCAGTAATATAACTGTAATTTACGTTTGACAGCAACACATAAGCGCACTACAGTATTCTTTTTCCCTGTCAGACTTTGAGTTGATTGAACATCCAAAGTGAATAGAGTAGCACCGCGAGTTTTTGGTAGTTGACATATTTGTAAAAAGTTCGGTGAATTCAAATCATGAGTGCATACAATATTATCTGTAATTTTTCATAATTAAGTCAATATATAATAAAGATCATATTATCTATATAAATTTAAATCTATATAAATCTATATAACTCATGAAAAAAGCTAGTATTATCTTAAATATACCTGTCAAGATAATCAATAAATTATACTCTGGTACAACATCTATCTGATTGATCCGTTTCTTGTTAAAATTCTTACTATGACGCAATAATTCCAGTTTATGACTGTCATCAAACACTGATGGAACATTGTACATAAGAAGATGACCCTCTCTTGTGCCTATTAATAAATTGTCATCTGAAATAAACAAAACAATATAAGCAATGAATATACTCTGGTATTGAGAATAATTCTTAGTAATTTGATTATGTATACTAAACAAATAAGAATTATTATTCACCATAAGCTGCTATGGATTCGATTTGCACTGTAATATTTAATATAGATGTTTCCTCGTAAGCATCGTGCATTGTGACGATTTATGAAAAATAATATCCTGTGTATCAATTAAATTCTTCGAACAATCATTTGTATGTTCTTTTCAACAATCAATTGTATGTTCTATATATGACTTTGTCAATTGACATCGGATGAGTATCTCTTTCTATGTAACTGTCAGCTGATATCTGACATCCACCATCTGAGGTATGGCCATAGACATAGTAAGTATAGACCGAGCATCCATTGTATAAGCGTTAAGCATACGAAAAGAAAGACAAAAGATGTAAGATGAGTTTCTTTCTCTTTTCAATGCCGGAGAAGTGGGGAGCACTTCTCCACATCTTCTCGCGCCGGTTCGTCATGGAGGGGCACTATAGATTTTCAGTACTGGCAGTGAATTTTGGAACACAGCCTCAGTGTCCAATCCCCTCTCAGGCTTCTCTCTGGCTGCGGTAGAGCACTAAATATACAGGTATTCTATACTCCGCCATTTTTAATCCATTCCCCCTCCTTGTTTCTCGTGTCACTCGCCTCGTCGCTAAGCTGAGATTATAGTAGATAGGTTAGTGAGATTATATGGGGTGGGGAGATGGATTAAAAATGGCGGAGTATAGAATACTCATATATTTAGTGCCTTAGCTGCGGTCGAGAAGACGCTCTGAATGCTTTGAAACATCGTTCTATCTTTGTTCTACATTCCATGAGAATAAAGATAGAATTGCCAGTACTGAAAATCTATAGTTTACGTGACGTACACTATATATTTTCAGTACTGGCAGTGAATTTTAGAACACAGCCATAGTATGTTGTTTGTGGTGAAAGCTTGAAAACAAAATTTCGTTTGGCGATTAGTTTGTTGAATTTTTATTGAAATGATCGAGGAACACAACGAACACGAAACGATATGCGACTCAGTGGTAAGTGATATGATAAATTGAATATAAAGACGCTGCTGGATCATCAGAAAAAACATGCAAACTACGAATATATAAGTATGATAATATTCTAACCTTACTTTTAGAATTCACTGGTTGAAGGCTGTCGTTTACCAGTTCGAATGTGTGCCACAGATGATTGGCGTAAGTAAATTATATACATATTATTTCATTAATGCTCCGAAGAACGTTTTACTTTTATGGGAAGGTGGAATTTTTTGATTTCGTCTAAAAGACTGAATTTTGTAATCTACTTTGACGAGTTTGGTTCTAAGCTATTATTAAATTGTAGGACAAGATATATAAATACCAAGTTTTATTGCAAAATATTAATATATTATATAAAAGTCTTGAAAGTGTTTTGATTATTTGTGTTAATTTGTATTACTTTCTGTGGTAACGATATTTATACATATATATTTCTGATAAGATTGATTCTATTTTATCTATAACACTTAAGTTTAAGAATTCATTGCATTTAGATAATGCAATTTGTTTGTAATAAATGTTGCAATAGATAAAATGATATTATGAATAATATATTATTTTTAAAATTTATATAATATTTTAATATTAAGGTAACTTAAGCGAATTATTTTATCTGTAGCACTTGCGGAAATCATCAGTATCAAAGATGTACAAGGTGTCAAATGTTATTATGTTCATTATGTGGATTGTAAGTAAATAGCTTAGCATTGGAGTCTGAAAACCCTAAGCGATATCATTGTCATAATTGTGTTATTTTAGTCAACAAACGATTAGATGAATGGGTTATGGAGGATTCTTTGGACACTAGAAAAGTCCAATATCCTCGCCGCGAAGGAACAACACCGGGAACTGGTGCAGCAACACCAAAAAAACAGGCTGTTAGTAGACCTCCTAGTCCCAGTAGTGTTAGCAATGAACCGGTCAATGATAATGCTGTGCTACAAGCTGCACTACAAAAGAAAATGTCTAGAAAGAGAAAAGCGACATTTCTAGAAAATGAGGATTCTCAGGATGGTCAGCCACAAACTGCTACGCCAGGTCCCAGATCCACTGGCTCTCTAGTGGCGCACCAAAATGATGATGTAGTCACAAGAATGAAAAATGTAGAATTAATTGAACTAGGTCGTCATAGAATAAAACCTTGGTATTTTAGCCCATATCCACAGGAGATGGTAAATTTAAATTGTATATATATCTGCGAATTCTGCCTGAAATACAGGAAGAATCGAAAGTGTTTGGAGAGACATTTAGTCAAATGTAATTTACATCATCCACCTGGAAATGAGATATACAGGAAAGGATCTATATCATTTTTTGAAATTGACGGTCGCAAGAATAAGAACTACGCACAAAATCTTTGTCTGTTAGCGAAGCTGTTCCTGGATCACAAAACTCTCTACTATGATACAGATCCCTTTTTGTTTTATGTAATGACAGAATTTGACAGCAGAGGATTTCATATAGTTGGCTATTTCTCCAAGGAGAAGTGGTCGACGGAAGATTACAATGTAGCATGCATTCTAACACTGCCACCATATCAGAGAAGAGGGTATGGCAAGCTCTTGATAGAATTTTCATATGAACTATCGAAATTCGAAGGAAAAACTGGCTCTCCTGAAAAACCACTATCCGACTTGGGTTTGCTTTCATACCGAAGCTATTGGGCGCACACAATACTCGATATTCTGTTAACTCTAAAGCCTGTGGTAGAGAATGAGAAACCACAAATAACAATAAACGAAATCTCCGAGATTACGTCGATTAAAAAGGAGGACGTGATATCGACTTTGCAAAATCTGAATCTCATTAATTACTACAAGGGACAATATATTGTCACATTAAATAGGTAAATTATTACCAAGATGAAAGGAGATTAGCTACAATTTACCTAATTTGATGAGATCTTCATCCTGAGGTATATGTTTATTTGCAGGGAAATTATTGAACAACATTCAACTGCGATGGAAAAAAGACAGATTAGAATAGATCCTAAATGTCTACATTGGACACCGAAAAGAATGTTAGGGTTAAATGGTGAATAAAACCCTGAATTGACAATAAGATGATGCCGATTTGTTTTGAAATTATTTTTCAGGGGCATTCAGGAAAATAATTATGGTTGGTGGATGCAAAAGTTGTATATACATATATATACTAATCTGTGACCTCTCAGTGGTCTAGCGTTTTAATAAGACTGTATTTGGCATATGCACGCTTATCGCGATACTGTGTAGAGATTTGCCGACGTACGAAAATCTCGTTGTAGAAAGCTAAGATCATATAACGCGAGCAGGGGGAAAAATATTTGCTGTAATGATATATATCTTAGAGCCAAAGGTAATGTTTTAATACTATCGTTAGAATTTTTCAAAGATACACAAAAACGACTGTCGTTACTACAATAGTCGACTGGTGTAAAAAATCTATCATTCTTGTGTATAAATAAATGTGATTTTATAATATACTTACAATTTCTCAATAGCTCAAGCGCATTCAAATTTTATAGAGAAATATTTATATAAGCTCAATACTCAGACTGCTGTTTATAATTCAATTTTTAATATACGAGAACAAAATGTAGACGCATCGTACCTATTGTGTGTATGTAAATATGTACACATCTTTTCACATTGTTATTTATATATTGTACATTTCCTCGCGATAAAATTGGGATAATTTAGATAATAATGAATACTAATAAAGTACTGTAAAAACGAGTACTCGTCAAAAATATTGTGTATTTGCGTATATACGATATGCAAGCAATCTTATTTCGCGAACGATTTTAGCTATCACCATTATTATTGATTGTATTATATATAAAATCAAGGATGTAAATAATTTACTAAATTACTAGTATATTACTGAATCCGTCCGGGATATATTTTTCATTTGGGGGCTTTTTCATAATCCAAATATTGAATTTTTATAGCTTATAATTAATGCTTATATGTTATAAATTTATAGAGAAGCGCCCTTTGATATAGATGATCTCTGCTCATATTTTTGTTTTGTAATAGAAACAAGAATATGAGTATATATAGTTACCAATATAAAATAAATTTCAGCTTTTCAATTTAACAATTCTTTTTTTTTATTTTAATTAGAATATCTTATACCGAATGCAATATTACATGATTTCAATGTATCCCTCTTATACCGAATGCAATATTACATGATTTCAATGTATCCCTGAATCTTTATCGTATATTTAAAAAAATATGAGTATTTCGCGTTTACATAAAAATTTTACAAAAATATAGTTAAAATAAATAGTAGGATAAACGTAATATTGAAAAAAATTTACGCGATTAGTCATAAAAATTTTTGCTTCATGACTAATAAGGTTAATAAAATTTATTAAAGTTTAGTGTAGAATTCATAAAAGTTCAAATTAATTTAACTCAATTAATTGGAAAAATAAGAGTTTATATTACGCAATTTATAAAATTTATCTCTTACCTTTTTCTAGTTAATTGAATCAAATTTTTATTAAATTACTTAAACTTTTAATTAATTTTATTAGTCATAAAACAAATTTCTGCGATTAATATTATAATAAACAATAGTTTTATGAATAATAGCGTCAATTTTTTCACTATTACATTTTCCCTTAAACGATTATTGCTTGAAAATTTAATCCCAATTATTTCATTCAAGAATAATAAAAATACGATAGATATACGGTAGAAATAAGATTTGTAAAAGTTAGAAAGCTCTTGTGTTAATTTTTTCATAATGGTGGTATACGATAAGGAAACTTTAGGAGATAGAGAAATTTGTATTTTGCTTTTTCTGCAAAATATAATCAAATAAAAAGAAAAGAAGAAAGATTCTTATTTTATACGGTACTTGCATTTTTTTCATTATGTACTAATTTGATAGGATTTACGTATAAGGAATTTCTAGCACAATACATTTTTATTGCCTATATTACATAATAGATCAGTCACGTTATCGTCTTTAAAAAATAGTTTGCTCGTATGAATATAAATTACAATTTCACTTTCACTCACATACACACGGATTCACGACAGACTTTGTTTCGGTGAGCGAGAAGATAAAAGAAAACATTCTTTAGACACGACTTTTTAAATACAGCATCTCTTTTATGTGTGTATGTATATATGTATGTATATAGATATATAGATATATTTTTTTTATATTCAACAGTAACATCACAGTAGCTTCATATACAATAAATCTTTGTTCATAATTTTATCTGTCTTTTTGTATTCGTTACCACGCAAGCGTGACACGGCGAGTTCCTAAAAGATTCATCACGTGAATACGACGACAAGCGAGAAGGAAGAAACTCGTGTGTGCACGCATTTCTCATAATTGTCAGGTCACAGTGATTTCATACCGATATGATCGCATGAAACTGGAAATGTTTTTTGATATCGTAAATCCATTGATATATATATATATATATATATATATATATATATATATATATATATGTATATGTATATCCTGCCCATCATACACACTATTACTAATTTGAATTCACGTACACAACAATGCGAATATGATACATCAGGATAACAAATTAATCAAATAATGTATGCGACTGACGTTTTATCGCGAAGCATACTGAGACATATAGATAAATCATTAATAATCGAATATAAAAATGCGACAAAACTAGATAACATTGGGCTATTTATAAACCGATATAAATCACTTGATACTTTCGTATTAAAAGAAATGTACGAAGTAACAAAAAACGAGAAAATCACGATTTTTACTTATATTAACCACTGTAGAAACAATGTTTAAATATTACAAAACAAGATTGTTTTTTTTTTTTTTTTTTCAAAGATATTTAAGAGAATAAGATCTTTCCTCTATTACTCTTCGTCATTCATCGCTAAAAATATTCTTCAAAAATCAGAGTACTCCCTGGAATTCATAATATTATATAGGAGAGAGTGTGAAATTAAAAATTTATAATTTATCTATATTATATGATTTTCAAAATATAAATTGACAAATCCAGAAAAAAGTATAGTCGCGACTTCTCGCCGCTGCGTTTGTTTCGCGACAAGCGTGCAATGAGTGGACAATACCTTTTTCCCTCTTAACAATAACGACAACAACAACAACAACGAGACGATGAAAATTCAATGGCAGCGATATAATGTCGAGGAGGACAGCGAATATTTAACAAGATAAGAATGACGACACGTACACGATATCGCAACAACGCATTTATAGACTATCATACGAATAACCAGACGCATACCAGAGAATTTGAAAAGCGCTTAAGATTACGCACAACCCTCGTATATCGCACGGAACGCAACTCTCGATCGAAATTATTCTTAATCAGGCGTACACCGAGCTTTGGGCAATGCAATAGCATATTCTCTGCATATCATCATCGTAAGTTTCAAAGAATGAACAATAGAATCTCTGTACAATTGATTAACATATCTAACGAGAATTATTATAATGTATACAATATATATGTCAATAATTAACGGTCTTTCGAATATAAATTAATTGATAAAAACCATTACAAATTTTAATTTTGATGAAAATCATAATTAACAGAATGGCTAAAATTGAATGCTATTAAAAGATACTATTATCTTATCATTATAAAACATTATACACCTAACAGAATACAACTAAAATTTCAAAGACATTAATAAGCATTTTTAGTTTTAATTCTTTATGACATTTCGCTAATGGATTATTTTCATAACAGTATTAAATAATTCTAAAATTCTTCCTTTTAAATCCGTGGCAAAAATTGCTCTCATTAATTCAATTCCTCTTCATCTTTTGCCGGATCCAAAACCCGTTATCTCAATGTACGCCTAAAATTACTCTTATTCTACTTACTCGCCGGAATCCGCTCACGTGGCGCACAATATCTCGTTACAGTTTTAACTCGTCGCATTAAGTACTCTTTCTCTCTTCCATTTTTCACCCTCTCTGTTTAATGTTACATGTGCACATGTATACCATATTTGCGCGTGTGTGTTTACATTTTTATAATATATATGTATACGTATATATATATCTTTTTTCCATCTTGCCTTCTATTCCCCCTCCCCCTTGCGAAATAACTTCTTTATATATTTACGTGAATGCATGTACAATTCTGTGAACAATAGGCGGCAATAGCTGGACAGAATGGCGTTCGATGACATTTTTTCGATTTTCTTTTTTAGGTGTTCTCCTACGAACGGGGGTTGTCTCGACACATCTCCCCCTTTTTTTGTTCTACGTTTTGATCAAGCAACGCCTGGACTGTCTCATCGAGTAAAAAAAGTGTTGTTTTGTACATTAGTATATTCGTGTCGCAGCATGAGAGGAGGAAGAGGTATATATGACAGAGTTTGTACTGATTCATGGTATTTTTTTTAAACTCGAGCGCAGGTTCTAATTCTTTCATATCTCAAACAGATTATTGATATCGATATATAATTTCGAAGAGAGAGAAACAGAGACAAAGAGAGAGAAGAAGGGGTGAACAAGGGAAAAAGAAAGTGAGAAAATTCAATATTTTAAATATTCTCTACAAATACATAAAATTATACTTTGCATAAAATCATTTTTGCATGTCTATAAAATCTCAGCTCTCGATCGAAATTATATCTCGATTTCATAAATATATCCTGTTTTAGATAATTTTACATATTGTGAATGGACAATTTTTTACGCATAAATTTATACATTTAGTAATTAAATGTTTGCAGAGTTGTATTATATATTTATATATGTTAATTTGATATTAGTATTTGATTAAACCTCGAGTTTACATTATACGCAATTACGTAATGTACATTGTGCGTTATACAACTACGGAAATTTCATCGGTAAGCTTTGAATGAACCTGCGCCGTGTTTCCGATAAATATAACGCGCGATGAATAATGAGCTTACGACATCTCTATTTAAACTGGGAGAGAACCGTCGTAAATACAATGACCGATCGAATACACTTCGATCACACACTAAACATCTATAATTACATACTGACGAAGTAAAATATCGAGTTTCGCTCATTTCACAATTCGTTTTTTATTATTCTATTTATCGTTTATTTTGTCTTAATCGTAAAATCGTACATATTTCTTGACATAAACTGATAGAAAGTCTATTCTTTCGATACGTATAAAACGAGGAGATCATGTGTATCTATCGCATATTTTTATGATTTACATTATAATAATTAATCATTTTTAATTTCTAAAATAACTTCTAATTAAATTAGTTAGAATAATATAATTGTTATATAATGTTATATTCGCGACGTGTATCTTATTCTGTTATTTTATAAAATATTACAAAGAATTCCTATTACAATAATAATGATTAATATAAAATATTAACGCAAATTGCACTCTGTATTATATATGATAATCGGCTTTGTCAAATGGCGATACTTCGAAATTCTACTTTCGTCCAGCCACTTGCCTGAACAATAAGACACTTAACAGTTTGGCGATCTCCACATTTGACGGGAGGAGACCGATTTTAATCCTCAGCTATGATTATATTTTAGATCGCTATATTACGGTGAGATCAATTTTGATCCCAATAACTTAATCGGAGTACAATCTTTGATTGTTATTGATATATCTATCCAGTTTCGTGCTATACTTACAACAAAATATAAGCTATTAAGCACATTTTGCATATGTATTAATAATTAAATAATACTAGAGTAACAATATTAAAATATTATAAGACAGTATTAAAATATTATAATAGTATTTATGAATATAATCTTTCGAATGATTTCCGATAATGTAATCGTACCGGGGATTAAAAATAATCTTCTCTTAAAATGCAGAAGTTTGAACAGCCAAAAGTATCCAATCGCATATAAATGTGAACATTATTTTTCGTACACTATGAAATACGACATACGAATATTTGTATTGGGAACAGATTTGAATCTACCGTAGTAGTTGAGGATTAACGGCCTTTTACCTTTACGCGCGTTACATCGTAATATTATTTTGTTACGTATATAATAACACAATATACAGCGGGGAATCGGCGCTCGAAAACATTACGTCATAATTGCGGGCGACCAATCGAGATCGTGTAAAAATATTTCCTTCCCTGGAATCTCGGGGAAGAAGTTTTGAAAAAAAATCCTCCAGAGAGAAAGAGAGCGACAAGTACGCGTTCTCGATCGCGCGATTTTTTTCCACATTCTTTCTCTTTTTGCTTATCTTTTGATATATGCAGTCGTTACTGAAACATTAGCCAAACCGAACTAGCCGAGATCTCTTGTTTGAGATATGCAAAAATTCGAAATCACATTGATTAAACTCGGGGAGAGCGAAAACCCTCCTCTTGGAATTCCGTTTAACCCGGCGGAAAAAAATCATCGATATGTCTCGTCTCTTCGTAAAACGGGAAGATCGATAGTTCACGATCGTGTAATAAAAAATTTCGCGGGTACAGTCGAGGCGAGTGTCTTCCCAGACAAGGAAGATATCTTGCTAAATGAAGAAGAGGCCCCCGCGCGCGCTGTCGCGCGAAAAATTCTTTCTTCAGCCTGCCCCCCGTGGATTTTAGAATCTCTGCCTTAAAGTATTTGAAGATATAAAATCTACGATATAGAAAACAGAACAGATCTCGAATATATATATAATATATATATATTTTTTTGTTTTTCCCCACATTCAACATCGATTCGCTTATCGTTTTTTTTTTTTATCGTTATTATATTATTTCTCATTATATATATGTATATATATATATATATATATATATATATATATATATATATAATTGTTATCGTTATTATTTTCATCATTATTGTTGTTATTCATCGTTTAGCGTTTTATTCTTACCGACAGGTATGTATATATATACATATGTGTATATATATATATATATTTATATATTTCTTTAAGCTTACATAATATAATAAATCTCTTTTATTTACGTGTTATATCAGTAGCGCTTTCTTTTATGATACAGATTGTCATGTGTCGGCATTTTATTAAGTGCCGCCGATACGATGCGCACGGATGCATTCAATCGAAAATCCATCTTCGATCGATGACAGTCTAAATAAATTTTTCCGTTGACCGTCAACATTGCATTTAAAACTCGAAACGATTACGTTATGATTCGCTGCTTTCATTTTTTCTTTATTTTATTTTAGTGGTACAAAAAAAAATAAATAATACCACATGATTGTTATCACTATTCAGATTTATCTTCGTCCATTTGCAGGAACGTATATATATTTTCTTTAATTAATTATTTTTGACCGTTAACTGATTTCATTGAACCTGCGTGTTACTTGCAATCGATGTGCTTCGTATTTACCTCTATCGATCACGCACTAGAGTTATATTAATATTTAGCAAATTCCATATCTCTAGGAGATTGATGACGCCTACTCGAGAAACTTTAATATGAAACGTCGATCACATCGTAATTGTGTGTTTTACTTCATTTCTCAGCTCGATTCATCAATACTAGATATTTCTTGCCCTGCAAGACTTTGGAAGAGCATTTTATACTATCGAAATTCTTCGATATTGCGAATCGCAACATTTTATACAAATATTGAATTAAAATTATATTCTCTGAAAGATCATAGAAAAAATAAATAGTGTGTGAGATGCGTATAATTTCTAATAATTCTAATATATTATTATAGTTAGAATAATGGAGTTTCGTTAACACTTTCATCATATTTACTCCAAAATATGGAAGCAAAATTCAACTAATCTGGACATTACGAAATGTATCTCGTGGAAGCATAATCATAAAACAATTTTTGTGTCTATTTCAGAATTTTACAAAGATTTTGTAATACATAGAATTTTACGTTATATTCGAAAATAATTATGCAAAAGGATCGCGTTGGACAGTTTTACTTTTACCAACATAGGCCAACATTTCACAAGTCCGATTGACATACACATGTCGAATGACTGAAAAGTCGTCTCTTTTTCGAGCATGAAACTTCTAAATTTCTCAGATAAATTTTTAAAGGAACTTTTTAGAAATTTCCTTTTCAAGTATCTTCATCGATATCAGCCTAATATCTCCTTAAGATGATTTATATCTTGATGTTGCAAACAAAAAACTTGAAATACCATCACGATTGAATTATCGCAAGTCTCAATTAAGTTTACGCGGTTTCGAGCCGAGACTGTCTAAACTCATTGTTCGTTGAGGGGTTCGGCAGCGACCTTATACGCTTTCGGAGCAATCTATCAAAACGCTTGTCAGGCCCTACAGTGTAATTATCGACTCCTACGTATCGAATTTCGTGATCGCGGTCGGATGCTCTAATTACAGATCACCGTTTACACGGAAAGATCATGATTATTCCCGCACAATATCCGATGACATAGGCGCAGCAAAACATTACGAAATAAGACTTTTCTTTTCGACAAATTTATCGATCAATCATCGAAACGTATTTTCAGGTACACATTATGCTTACGGCGTTTTTTTACGTTTTCGTTGACGTTTACAGTCCACAATCGAAGCTCTCTTGATTCTGCACTTTCTTCTGGTATGCCTCCAAATAAGGATCGACGTTTCTGTATGTGCCCGAATTCGCTTGATACATGAGGGTCTCGAGGATACGTTCGTTCCTTATGGCTTTCGACGGCAAAACGATCTGGAAGACGAAAAATGACTTTATTCGTGCTCTTTTATTCATTGCACATACTATGATATTAATCTAATTGTAAATATAATCATTTAGATTACATGATTATATCTTTTCTTTTTCTATCCTGCAATGTTGTTTATATTTTTATCTGACATGTTTCTTGATATCTCTTCAATACGTACCTTGATTAATTCGTATGGTGTTATCCTATATAATTTAAGGTCCCTGCTGAGCCTCTCCATGATACAGTTGAACTCAACTTTCGCATCGAGCTTGGTTGATTTAGTTTTGATTCTATGCTTCGCCCAACTCAACATTGCCTCGAACTTTTTAATCTCCACCACTTCGAGGCTACGGCACATGATCATTTGTACCATCGACTCGCTTAGGGTAAGGAAGTCCGGGTTCTGGAAGAGCTGATAAGCCCTCGTCTCGACGAACGCGAGGATCATATTGACTAATTCTGAGGCGGATGTATATCGCCAGTAATAATTCTCGAGGGCGCATAACATCACGCAAACGATCTCGATTCTGAGGAACTGCTTGGCGTGATGAAAGCAGGCTTGAAGTAATTCTGGTAGATCATAGTGTTCGGCGGCGCATATCAGACCCGGTATATTGCTACACGTCAACGGACAGGATCCGGTGTGCAAGTAATCAAGTAGAATTCGAAAAGTCTCCGGATCGAATTCGATGATATCAAACTGAAAATATATTTTTTTATATTTTAGATATATAATATTGTGCTTCAGCTCGAAAAATGTTTTAATCAAATTATAATATTTATTATACAAAACTGATTTTTATTATTAATTAAATCTATTAGAAATTACGTATCTCACTACTTATTTTTTTATGATCTTTTAGAAAATATGTACAACACGTTGTAATTCAATATTTATTTATTTTATTGTTGCAATTGATGATGTTGAAGAATTGTATTATATTATAAATACTATTGCTACTTAAAGACAAAAAAAATAAATGTGTATACGTAAATTAACAAAGACAATAGAAACATTTAATTTTACAGAATATAAAATTATAGTTGTCTATTTATTGTCAATTGATATATATTGATAGTGATATATATTCTGGAAATCGAAGTTTTACAATAACATGAGCTTTCTGAAAAGCTGCCCTTATTTCTTTTCCAGTAGAAATATGCATTTGATATTCCACTCACCTCAGTCTGTGCTAATTTCGCTCTATCTACTTTTTGCGCGTCGGCGCAAACGCTGAGCCTTGGTACTGCCAATGATTGGGCTGCTTTGTCCTTATCTTTCACTTCTTTATCTGTAAAATATTTATTTTTTCTTTAAAATTCGTCTATCTACTTCATCGCGAAATGAAGTTATTGTACACATGAATATTTCTTTCTCTCTTTCTCCTCATACACGGTTATTGAAAACATTAAAAGAGATTACCATTTTGTATACATTACATCTACCTATGAACTGGCTGTATTTACGCTTTAATTATGTATGATATTTGAACGTAAGATTAAAACCTACATAATATATAAGACAAACTGTCGATTTTCTCTTAAAAACTGTGACACGTACTACTGCAATCTTGCGAACTGGCCCATCGCTTTCGATCCTCGCTCTGCAGAGTGTTGCTACCGTGTTTTCTAATACTCCTCCCCCATCCGGCCGTTATTGTGCCCAATCTTGAGAAGGCCCGTTTTACCATCGGTGACGAAGGGACACTTTTGGGCCTAAACACATCAGAACCAGTATCTCACAGAAACCGCGGAGCGGCACCTCAAGGTATGGAGATGGAATTTATGGACATTTTGCACAGAAACCGGAATGAATTCAGAATGAATGGGAGGGGGACTGGTTACATAATTGAAAGGAAGAAATATATATATCGAATATCAAATTTTACGAAACAAAAACGACACAACGACGAAAGCTTACTCTCAGAATTAACAATTTATATCTGTCAACGTGCGAAGAATCGAAACAATTTGTGCGCATTATCGAAGTCATAACAGCGATACGAGCTTCTTGTCAAATTATTAATATAATATTGATATAATTATTACATGAAATTTAGAATATAGAATATAAACAAAAACTGCGATAATAAAATTATTGACAATAATATCACAATTAAAATAAACGGAAGGAAGCATATTTGGTTTCAATATTATTAATACGGATGGAAACAAAACTGTGTAAAAGAATATATTATAAATGATAGATTTCATATAAAAAATAGCACGTCTCAGAATAATATCAGCGAGCAAAACGGTAAACTTTATTCGTAGAATTTCATTATTTGTAACGTAATTGCCGCTCTTTTTTAACGATCGAAGCAAGGCAAGTTTGCCACGAGTTACATCATTCGACAGAGTACTTCGACAGGTGCTTCTCAGAGAAGAGCATGCCACATAGAATTCAATATACGATACATGGTCCCATTAAATTTATAATACTCTTGCATTATATATACGGTAAATAAGGTAGATATATATAAACAAAAAAATAGTTATACACGAGATAATCATGCGGTGCCGTGGAGGATAGGAGACATGGATGTGCCGTGAAAAGATACACTTATTTACGATTCGATAATATATAAATATAAAAGAAACATTCGAGACACCGAAAATCGCAGGCATTGATCTCACCCGTCAAACGGGATTCCCAATTTTATTCTCATTAGAGATATCCAATTAATATCTCGCATAAGATGTCGCATGAACCAGGTACTCCCGTACTCAATGTCCTGAGCGAATGCTCTCAAGTCGCCAATTTCAGTTTTGCAATCACGTATTTTGCGGATTGGTTTATTGCATTATTTTTAATTTGTTTAATAAATTTAATTGCGAATCTTACCGCTTTTCGTAATGACGTATTCCGCCTTAAGCGGACTCGATATCAAACTGGATTCATGAGACTAACAAATAAATATCTCGAAATAACAATAGCAATCTTGATTGTTAAAACGTACCTTGGACTCTCCATATCGGGAACTTGAAGAAAGTTCGAACTTTTCGGTTTTTGGGGGCTGAGCAATGTCGGCGCCGGCCTCGCCAGCAACTCCGCAACCGGGACTTGTGGGCTTCCGAAGCCTGCTTGAATTCCGTATAACATTTCTTGGAATACTCTGCACAAAAATAAATATTTATGGATAAATTCCACGCATCAATGTTCAACATTAGCGTTCAAACTGAATAAATTTCCTATATTCAATTAATTTTTTAATTAACATTCTTTTGTTTAGCAAAGAAATCTTTTATATTATTAATCAGTAGGTTTTAATACGGGTTTATGCATTTATGAATTTCTGTTTTACTAATTTATTCATCTATAAAATGCTTAACTAATTATAAAATATTTATTTTATTTTGAAATTAATAAATTATTGAAAAAATTTCTTGCACTAAGTATAAATAATCGCGAAAGAGAGCACAACCGTTTAAATTTATATAATATTAATTACACATTTTACATATTAATTACATTTCCCTACATTTCGTTACCTGCTTCTTACTGCTAGAATCGCCCTAACGCCAATGAATCTGACTTTTTGTTTTTGTTGTCCTGGCACAAGGAAAGATACGTCAAATAGACTAGCATTTAGCGTCACGTTCGCTGAATTATTAAGAAACACCCTGGTAAAGTCCTTTGCGAGCTGATCATAATCCTCAAACTGATCTCGCACTGAATCCAATAATGGCGACGATGGTCTCATGTGTCCAATCGGTCGCCAAGAACCTCGTCTAAAAATTAATAATCGTAAATTTAGTCCCTTTAATCAAGCGCGTAATAAGTAATCGAGAAGCTTTATAATTTACAATGCAATTAACGAATTTACACATAAGAATAAAATTATTAAAAGAATTATTTATTAAATTTAATTTCAATATTAAAGATAATTGATACGCGTCATATAAATATATAAAAATATATAAATTATACGAAAATATAATATATGCCGTAAAGATATAAAATAATTAGATATAAATATTAATTTTTTAAAGATATAAATATTAATTAAAAGATATAAATATTAATTTTAAGTATAGAATAATTATGCCATATATTTTCATATCATTATTATACTTTGTTTACATGAATATACATGAATTTTAGTGTACTTTATTATGATTGCGTTATCTCACCTATACGGTTTCGGAATTTGCCCGGTTTCCGCATGATTAGCGAGATTCGCTACGATATCCTCCAACATTTGGCTTCTCGTTCGCTCCTGCATTCTCGCGAATTTCGGTGCGGAATAACTCGCTCTTTCACCATTCACGATTTTCGTCAACATCCACTCTCGGAACATCGGACCTGTTGCGCCCAGAATATTCGATAGATAAGCTCAACACGACAGAAATTTTCTAAGCTAACATAATTCTAAAGTAGCCAGTCAACAGAATTTTATCATTCTTGCACACACATATTGCTATATTATTTTCCACATGTCTGACAATTAAAAACTTAATATAATTATAAGAGAATATGTCTGTAGAGAGAAATTCACAATATTAAATTAATATCAAATTTACTGTGCTTCGTCGCATAAACCATATGGATTTATAATGAAAATTATATCATATTAAGCAAATTATGTAATTAAATTATCATTTGATATTTATAATGTTGATGATTAAATTGTTAAATAAAATAATACTTGCTAATTTATATATATAAAGAGAACTTTGCAATAATCTTTTACAAATTTTATATATTAAGTTTCGTGTGCGAGAATAAAATTAACTTTTTTTTAATTTCATGCTCATTTCATGCTTATTTAGCTTAGTAAAAGTATAATTTTTGGCACCTTTTTCGAAGACGCTTTGCTCCCATAGATACGGTTTGTAGGCCCCAACTTCGTCCCTTGTAACCACGGATACTTCGTATCTCGTGATTTTCCGCTTTATCCGTGGACTCACTCGCACCAAGATAAATGTGTGCAAAAAGTGCGACTTGATGCAAGCTGGACTGAAATTCGTGTTGTCGGCTTCCAAAAATACGACGCACACTATATCGTTGCCAATGTGTCTTTTTCTTTGGAGCTGCGCGTGCAAAAAGCAAAGATTTGTGATTAAATTTCTGTGAGACATTTTGTCGCGTAAATTGTTTTAAAATTGTTGGATAAAAAATTTTAATAAAAATAATAATTGGCGGCAAAAAAATATTAACAACTCACTTTTTGAGGATCGTGTTTCTCGTAAGGCAATAAGGTGGACACGTGGAACATTATCTCGATACCCCTCCAATTGGTGTAGACAGAATATAGGCCCGTCAAATCGTGTACGGTATCGAGACCGCCTTTGTACTTGTCGAAACCCTTTAACCTGATTTTGTCCCCGAGAATCTGCAGAAATTCCTCGAAAAGCAGCGAGTTGTCGTTGTTATCGAGTATCTCCTCCTCACTGTACTGACCTTCCTGAACATATATCACTCCCACTTTTAACTCGGACTTGATAAAAACTTGATCGAGCTTGAGAAGTTCTTCAGGCGTATCCGGCAATTGTCCCAAGGTCAGTGGCGGATTGATGTTCACCTCCTTGCCAAGACTACGTACTACTTCTTCTCGATTGTACCTATAAAACAACTGCCATGTTTCGCATATTCTCGCAAGAAAAATTAATTTTGTAACACGCGTTTGATTATAATAATTGGACTCGTTGAATATCTTCAATTGTCAGAATAAATTTCTGGTATGGAACAATCGATAATATATTTTATTATTTCATTAATAGTTACGTCAATCCGAGAATTATATTTAAATTTGATAAAAATGTTTACCTTATGCGCGTCGCAAGTAATTAAATTCTATTCAGAGATAATCGTGCGTAATTGTAATATGTATGCGTAAACTAAAAATGAATCAAAAATTACCGATCAGCAAAGACGCAGCTGGCGGGGATAAGGCCGTGAACCGTGTAACTGATAGCTCTGACCAAGATTCGGAACTGATCCCGGTTGTTGAGGGTTTCCTGCTTGATACTGAGTATCACCGGTCCCAGATCCTCATCATTTGTGAAATAATTCCAATGTTCCGAGCCATAGAAGTATTTCTCGTAGGTCTCCTGTTCAACCGAGGTAAGTTCGAAGCCCTGATTTTTCTCCCATTGTTCCTCGATGGTGGTTTTCTTTCGCGGCACATCGTCCGTATCAACCTCGTTCTCCTCGAACAAGCAAAAACTGTTGTCTTGTCGCTTCAGCATCGACGAACGCTCCTCCACCGTCTGTTCTTCCGTCTGCTCAGGATCGGTAGCCTCGCGATCGCTCTCGCTTTCGTCCCAGATCGTGTCCGATGTGATCTGCTGCCGCGAACATTCGATCCAGTAGCCAGGCGTTGGTATCAGGTTGTGCGGAAACTCTTGACAGAATTCATCTATAGGAAAATTTATCCTCAACTCGCATCTATTTTTAATTTGCCTATTTTTCACAGATTTCTGTAACGAGTAGAGATGAACCAATAGAAGCCTTTAGAATTAATTCGGCTAACGCTTCGAGAAGAATACTTGAAATACCAACATGATAAGTCGCTTTTGGCTTTTGCAAGTTCAATGAGTACTTTTGATCGCGTCCCTTTGAAAGATTAAAGATATGGGATATTAAACGAGAAATCTAAAGAGTGTAATCACGGAGTAGTAATATCACAGTGTAAAAGTTATTAAATTGTCGTGGTACGTTGTACGTAAATGCAATAATGCTCAACGTTTTCATCATGAAGCGCGCGGACGTTGATCGGGCAATTTCACTCAAAGCGAGATTAACGTTAATTAAAGCCGCTCGACTAGCGCTCTTCCTGTCGGAGCAAATTGGAGGGCGATAGCGTTCGATAGTGTCTTTGTTCTCCGGATATGCCAAAAGAACCGGTCGAATTATCCCCGAAGCGAAGGGGGATTTGTTTAGAAATTGGAGGAACAAAGCGAGATAGATAATAGATAAACAGGTAGATGGAATCGATAGATGGAGTAGATAGATAGATGGATAGATGGGAGACGGAGAGCTCAAGGAAGTTGGAGCAAATAATATCCGAAGACCAGCACTTGGCTGAAAATCATTAAGAGAGGAATCCGATCCGAGGGTGAATCGACCGTCGGGTTAGATAAAGCCCAGAGGCAGAGAATTTCCAAGTGATTTTTCCCCACAACTCGGACTCACATCCACTTAAGCACGTATCGCCGGTAATATGTTTCTTCTTTTCCATCCCCGCTGCCATTTCGCTTTATCAATCTTCGTCTTCCTTCCTGCCTGCTGCTTCTTTTCCCGGCTGTCGATGATACCGCAGTCGATTCACTGTAAGGTAGAACACCAAGCTGTTTGCAAACAGGGCTTGGTATTCGAACTTAGAGTGAGCCGCCCGCGGTGCCTTCCTCTTCTTCTCCCCCGACGCTGCGAATCGACCTAATTACCAAGACCCTTTATCCGCGCATAATGGCCGTTTATATCTCACCGGGAATTCGAATTTTGACACGGATGGTTAAAGTTCGCTTAATCTCTCTTGAAGAAATGGAGAGATTTTTAGCTCCCGGGAAGGGAGGATCATTTTTTCAAAGTTAAAAGATAAACGATGTAACTTCGACGATAGAAATTTACATGAAAATTATTTCAACGATCGCGCGATATAATTTACTCTTACTTTTTCACCTGCCATTCGCGTAAGAATTTATCTCGACGAGCTGAAGACGACTTTGAGAAAGCGTGTCAATTATCATTTTTCTCTTTTTATCGCGTTTTTTTCGTCACAAACAGGCTCGTAAAACTCTCGCTCGTAAAACCTACGTTCGCTATGCGAATCCGGCGACGAGATAACTTTGCACGTATAATCGCGCGTAATCCAAGGCGGGCGAAACCACCTGTAGCTTCGTCTCATGCATATGCACCCCTGCAAAAGTCGACGACGTCCGCTGCATCGGTCTCGGTTCGCGAAAACATGGCGCGATAGTTGGAGAAGGAGGCGAAATGAACGAGCGATTTTGACGACGACGAGAATAAAAGTACTTACCGGAGCACGCCTGAGGTGGCAACGGGAAGATCAGGGTGGTCGAGGACTTTCTTCTCGCAACTGCGCAGCCTAAACTTTGTGGTTTGAAGCTGCGCAACTGCTGCATGAAGTCCGAGCACTCCATCAGCGCCACGTCGGCAAAGTGCAGATCGCAAAGTATCTGGTTCTTGAACCTGAACCGCAGAAAACAACCCTTAAAATCGTTCGTCGAAACGAGTGGTGCTTCAGACGGCTGTTCCTCGCCGCCAAGAGAGATCATAAAAAATGTTTATGGGGCTATATATATTTATAGCGATAGATTGAATATCAGCGACGCGAGTGGCAATGATACTTTCGACATATTCCATAAGAATAAACTGATATGTAAATACAATATACATAAATGGATTTAATATTTGACAAGTGAATATGATCGCGATATTTTCCTCGATTAATGCGATTGTTTCTCTAAATATATTTTTATATTACACGATAGAGAATATTAAATTCTCTCAAGTCCTTGACTAGCTTTCATAATAAAAGTTATTAGCAATTAAATTAGTATTTGCAATGGATCGAAAATTAATTAAGCGAATTAATAAGATTGCATCGGAGAATAAAATTTTTTTCCATTTCTGACACATTTCATTTTGGCGTGATAATACTTGTAAATTTAAGCGAGTTTTATCACAAGCGAAAACAATCAAGGGAAATGAAGTTTTATAGGAGTTCCGCTTGATAAGAGACGCGAACCCATCTCAATGGTGGCCGTTATTGGAATACGCCGACTCCCTTATCTCCTCTATCATTCGCTCTTATCGTGCGAATTTATGCAGTATCAATTAAAATTATGAGTTTGCCAGAAATATGTTAATTCATATTTTTGAATACACTGATAATCCGTGCATAATTGCATTCTTGATCACTTTGCAATTTATTCAACTTTAAATTTTCTTTATTATATCTGTCTTTTGGATTATTTTCTTAATACTTTGTATGAAATAAAGGAATGGAAATATTAATTTAATCTCTCAAAAAAATTTCAATTCATAAATACGGAAATTAAATTTCTCACTTGTTCAATATTTTTCATTGATGCAACGATGTTTCGCACAATATATTTAATAGTCAATATCGTAATAATCGAACACCGTGGACACAAATCATATAAAAATGTTATTTCCTAAGATTTATATTCTATTTATTTCTATTTATATTTTCTCCAGCTAAAAACGACAGCCCCGATGTTTCGCACAATACCGTGACGTGCGTGGCGATTTACGTAAGTGTTGTAAAACGGCCGATAATCGCGCATAACGGTACATTAAAATGTCCATTCCAATTCAATTTGCATCTGACAGGATTCTGCACGTTATTTCCACGGCCTGCCGTTCACGTCGGAATAATAAATATTTTTCAATAATCTCTCTTTCGCATGCGCGCACATTTTCGCCGAAGAAAGCTTGTCGAAGAATGATGTTATAACGCGCTATGATGCTGCGTTTTTAACGACAGCTCGACGATAACGTTGAATCGTAAATGGGTTTCCTGAATCTTCGACCCGATATCGTTCATCTTTTTATCCAGGGAAGGGGAGAACCACGTTAAAGTCACCGATTCAACTTGTCGCACGTGACTCACGATCAACCTGCATGATGGGGATGGCTTTCCGATCGACTGAGCCCCGCGATGATCCCCGATGTATGTGACGGGTGTAAATGAAAACGAAACGTTGTCGAATGGGAAACGATAGATAGTCGAACTACATCGACTGTAATAAAATCGGGCCTTTAAATTTGTGGGCACGCGAGCGTGCGAAGGCGCGATATTCGTGCGCGGAGACGCCTGATCGAACATTCGTTTTCGCGAGGTCTCTTAGCGAAATCAGATTGAATCCGCCAGAACGATCGGGGTTTCGTTGAATTTTCCCGCGTTTCGATTAATCGGGCGAGATCGATTTTCGCTGGCGAGGGACACTTGATTCCGCGTCATTTTGCCTCTCGATCGTCCACCGTGTTTGTCTCGTAATTTCTATGCTCGTCGCGTGTGGGAAAAGTAGTAAAAGTCAGACGGCGATGTGATGTATAGACTGTGAAAAAAGTGCCTTTCCCTGTCGCACGATCCATTGACGCCTTTCTCACTTCGGAGAACAAAGTATTAAATCGTGAACGGAATCTCTGTCTGTGTATGGCAATGCGTTTTAAAAAAGTACAGTTGCACAACAATTGCTCGGCTGATTGTAAGTTTATCGTGTTATATAAAAGATTTATAAATATTTCGACATTTTTTTATTTTATTTACGGATTATTGCGAATTGGTATAGTGTAAAACTAATTTAAATATTTTTAAGAAAGAAAAGAAGAAAGTGAGAAATACACTATATATATATATATGACGAGATTAATAAATTATTAGAGATAAAAAATCGTATTTTAAAATAGTACTTCTCTAATTCAAAAATTAAATTATACAAGTAATTTTTTTTTATTATTTTTATCATTCTATTTTATCTTGAGCGTCTCTGAGGCTACAGATATGTAGATCGAGAGAGCAGTATTTCGCTCGCATCTATTTCATCGCGCATATCTTGAGCAGTCGGCATCCAACCTCCGAGACTGAAATATCCTGAGAATTTAGCGTCATGGGGCCGCCCGTGTCATGGATCTCGTTTCATATACGTTGGCTCAATTTTTTAAATATAGAAGGAGCTGTAAAGAGTCGAGCGGAATGGCATAAAGCAAATAGCAGACAGAATCTAATGATGTACAATTATTCACAAAGAATGAATAAAAATTATAGCACTCGTAATAATTAACAGTTTATTAAAATGTCTTGCATGTTCACAAATTTTAATAAAATTACTTTATTGTGTAATTGTTTTTTTTTTATAAATAATAATTTAAGATATAAAAGATATTCTCTGTACGTCCATTTTTTATCAGATGTTTCTTTTCTATAATAATATTAAATATAGATTTCATTATGTGAAGCAAGATCGAAGGTAAAAAATAATAATAAATCAACTAATAATAAATGATAACTTAAATAGAAGACGCGAATTTGTGACTCAGCATTTTTCTGGAAATTTTCAGAACAGGCATTATTTTTCTAAGTATATCACAAATCAAGTATGATGAGATTTTATACAATGTTTGAAAATATTTTCAAAATTTTCGGTACATGCAAAGAAAAGATTTATTTTAAAATTTTTGAAAGAAATTAGTATTTATATTTTCGGATTGCAGTTGCTTTAACGAACCAAACTATTATACAGTTATGTTGAAGGTCTCGGTGAGAAATGGAAATGCAATAAGATATGGCAATGAAAGATAAAGAAATTCTTCAGGATTCTTAACATACTCACCGTCTTGCCCGCTTTTGATTGGGTCCCGTCAGATTCAGGCCGCAGCTGTTACATTTTAGGCACTCCTCGTGATAATGGTTGTTGTCGTACAACGGCGATGGTTCTTGAAACAATAAGCATAGAAATACACTTTTAATATCAATATCCAAAATATATAATATTTGTGTGTATGTCAAATATTTATATTTTAAAACCTCAAAGAAAAAGTCTCTAAATATATATATATATATATATATATATATATATATATATATATAAGAAAGTTTTTAGAAATATTTATAATTTTTTAATAAAAAGATTAATAAAAAGATGAATACTCAGGATATTTTTCACAAGATAATCGGTACAAAAATGTCAAGGTTCATTAACATTACATCTTGCAAAAGTATTGTAAATAAATTATTTGAGCAATAATTAAATATTAATATGTAATTAAAATTATAAATATTTATTATTTATTTAATTATAATTGTGGAAAATATCTGAGTATTTATCTTTTTATTAATGGCAATTAAAAAATTATAAATACTTCTAAAAATTAACTGCTAAAAATTAACAATTAATTTGCGTTTAGATAGACTTTCCCTTGTTTCCTTCGTTTTAAATGTTTCCGAGGCATTACGTAATATCCTCTTTATCATCGTTAAAACCTCCGAGAGAATTTATCTATCATCCCATTTTATTTGCATTATTTTTCTATCTCCGTATTCTCCCGCATCCCCGCTCCTCTCTTTCATTCCTTGTCTTTTACTTAACTGCCCTTCTGCGAGATTGTATTGAGCTGAATCGGCGGGGTGTGGTCGTCGCTCTCGTGACACCGTATCATACCACACAGCCGACATAGCGGAGGCCATAAAGAGTTCCAGCGCGTGCCAAGCATGGAATTTTGATATCGAGAGAAAAGCGAGCAGCGCCGCATCGGTGGTTGGTTTCGTCAAGTAAATCGGCGAGGCATTCGTGACCGCTACGATATGTAATTGCACATATGCACGCACGCACATGAATGGGAATTCGTATAATTTAGGGACATTAACACAAAAAGTAAAAAAAAATGTTTTACAAACATTTAGACAATAGAGAGAGAAAGACTTTAATTTATATTTCTATTGATGAAGTGCGAAGAGATTACAGAATACGTAATACAGATTACGTATTACAGATAAATACGTAAAAATATGATAAAAATTCATGAAAAATAAAGTACTTTCTTCTTTATTATACGTTAAAAGACAGATCTGGAGATTCTTGAGGAAAAAGTCGGACATTTTATGTGATAAAATGATATATTTTTTGATGACACTCTTGTGAAATATAAATTAAAAATACTATTACATGAATAAATGAAGCTATCTCTATATGAATTTCGCGTTATAAAAACCAATTATTTTGCATGCATGAAAATTGTCATTTTCGGAGAACTTTCGACATTTTGCACAACATTGCAATTATGTGCAATTTTGTTTATTTGTATATTGTTATAATAAATGTTTAATAAAAAGTGCTCAATAATAACAGCATTCTTGAGAGCTTTCACAATGTTACTAAATTATTAAAGCGTCAACATCTTGTATATGTCCAAATGTCCTTAAATTACATATGTGCTTTAGGATATCTCAACTGGTATTGATAGAGTTTATGCGAGATTGACGCGGGAGGCAAGCGCGAAACCGAAGGATAAAAATCCGCGAGGAGAGAAAACGAAGAGAAATTAATTCGACGATAAATCTAAGTCTTTTAACAATAATAGTCAGTTTATTATAACAATTATAACACTAATTATAATACACAGTCTTAAATTAATTACGCGAAAGCGATTTCAGAATCCGCGAGCAACGGAGACGACTGATTCAATCCGCGAGCAACGGAAGAACGTTTTTTCTCGTGATCGAAAAATAAGTGAGTGCGTCGAGTACCTTTAAGCCAAGAAGCGCCGTGTTCCGCGAGCGCGTCAATTTATAGCGGAGCCCTTCTCGAAAGATCCCGATTTTTCGTGAACTAATAGAAATGTTCAAAACGAACGGTTAAGAATTTATTTATTTTCCTTGGATCTTTCGAGAAGGGCAAGCGCTGTTTTTAAATTGCGCTGACAAAGCGATGTCGCGCTAACGGCTGCCAGGGGCGCCGAATGATCGCTCGGACCCTCGCTCCTTTTAGCGAGGGCGTTTTGAACAGGTATTAATAATTATTTAGTTACTTTATTCATGTTTCAAGTTAGAAATATTTAATAAATGGCTTCTATTTTCTTTTCTTTCTTTTTTCTCTCTCTCTTAATATAATTGATAAAATAGAATATAAGAAAAGAAACATACTGATACAGAAATAAAATTCAGCAAAATATATGATAAAAAAATTAAGAATATGATTTACGTTTTAATGTCATTTCTAAATATTTTAATGTCTTTTCTAAATATCTTCTAATTAACAAAAAATATTTGTGTGTGGGTGCGTGATAAATTAAGAAAATAAAATATTAATTTATAAAAGCAAGGTTTAGGGAATGATATGTTTTCCGAAAAATCTACGACAGAATCGATAAATTTTCAAATTATTCACGATCTCTTTTACTTTAACTTACATCTGCATGAAAGAATGTATTTTTCAGAATCGTTTTAGGAATCAAGATCATTTCAAAAGCTATTGTAGAAACTCGCGAAATATCTTATATTATCCCCTGTATCCGTTCTGACATCCTTTCAACGCTACATGCGAAGCATAAATATACCGATTCATTGTTTAACTTGGATTGTTACAAAGATAATATATATATATATATATATATATATATATATATACTTAGTTTAGTGTATACATTATTATATATTTTAATGACGGCGATATGTATCTTAAATAGAAATAGTGAACTCTTCCGCTAATTGAAATTTGATAATCTAAGATAGTAATGGGTTCTTGTATACATAAAATGTTTGTCTTCAATTAAATAAGAAAACTTGCATAAGAATTAAATTTGATAATTTTAATTAAAACAACAGTTTGCATTCCGAAATAATAATATAATACAGAATATAATAATATTTCTATAAATATATAACATGTTATTATATGTAGAAGATATAAAAGTTTCTATTGTTTCTAAATCTTTTATCTTTTATTATTTCAATATTAAAATATTTTGACAGGAATGCTATTGCTGCACACTATTTTCGTTTCATGTATATATATTTTAATTTCGTGTTTTTTAATTTATAATTTACAATTTATAATTTAATATTTTCTTTATATTGATTATTTTTCAATTACAAAATATCCGAGATTAGATATAAAAATTACATTAATGTGTTTTGAATGATACAAAATCAATTTTGATAAATTGGACATTATTTCACGAATACGCTTGCAACGAAAATACGTTATAATATTTATGCATTAATATTAATGCGTTGTTGGGGAAAGTTTAGAAGACACCGATGAATCTGAAATATAAAGTAGTTACGTTGCATCAATCTTGTTTTCAAGTTTTCGCGGACTGTAATATATTTCGTGCGAAATATCCGGATGACGAGCGAAATTATTCGCGGCATAACTGTAGCACGTGATATGACAAGATTACGCTAGATGGTATATTACTTTACGCACACAACCAAGGTATTATTCTTTCTACACTCGATTTACGCCGCCTGATCTGATTTGCTTTATACAAGAATATTATATAGTTATCCTTTAATCTCTTTTCTCTTTTTTCCTGCTACATTTTAGAAATCAAAATAAAACATGCTCCTCGCAAATTTCTTTTTATTATAAAAGAAGAAGAATTTTATATTGAGTTTGATTATTATATAGTATGTATGAAATTATTAACACATTATATCTGAATATTATTAACACTTTATTTTTTACAGTGTTCCAATAATACTAAAAATATGATGCAAAATATTTTGCCGGCTAAAAAAATTCGATTGAACGAGATAAAGCAATGGAGTAAACATTTCCAAAATACAAAACAAAAACATTCGCGTTGCAATTCAGATCGGCGAATTAAAATCGCGTGAGACCACAAGCGGAAAAGTCGATTAATCTGCAGTTTTTCTACACGTGGCGATATATTTTTCAACGGGAAAACGCGAGATGTGTGTACATACACTCTTTAGGTTTTGCTTTTTATCTCGAAACGCGATGAGATGCAAATCTCGCCTAAAATATGCAGCAGCTAAATTGAATGTTAACAGATGCAATTTATCATCGAGATAAAACGTGTGTTTAATCACGATCTGGAGCAAAAGTTTGGAAAGTAAAAAAAGGACAATCCACCTACATGTGTCGCGATGGCCTTTTTACAAGTTGTCGCTTATAACGATTACATCATACTCACTGTAGTGTTCTTATTTATATACTCATTTCACAACAAAATAGCGTATCAGAAAATGTCAAGTAACGTGGAATGTGTAATGAATATATTGGAAAAAAAAAGAGAAAGAAGAAGAAGAGAAGGAATTGCAATATTCCTTTTTCTTTTTCTATTTCCGATCGAACGAGGTATAATCGAAAATTGGAAAATGGTAAACAAAACAAATGAAAATAATGCGTTAGATGCGAATAAAGTTGAACGAAATTGTTGTCGCCATTGCACCGGAGATATTTGAATATTACCTGAGTTGCGTGTTTGTTATTCCAAACAGGCTTCAGTAACGAAAGAAAATAATAGCGTGCACGCACGAATGCGCTGATATTGACGCAGCCTTTATCAGTACTTTAACCTCGTTTGATCCCCTGGCTCTTTCTATTCTATGAGAAAATGGGTAACTTCAACGTGCCTTCCTTTGCGCGTGAAAATTAAAGTATGAAGAAGTAAATATGAATATTTCAGGAAAAAAAAAATTATTTAATTTAACTTTTAATTCACAAGAGTATAAATAAATTACTCGAGATAAATGAATCTCTCATTAGAAAAAGAAATATTAAAAGAGATTTTTGAAAAATCATATTTTTAGTCGCAATTACGAAAAAAAACTTTGTAATTTCGTGAGATAATGTTTACCGCACATTTCCATCTCATTACAATTTCACCTTAATTTCTTTTATGATAAACTTTTGTTGCAATATAATTGTCGCAATCTTGTGCATTATCTTACGACTTCTAATGGGACT